TGCTAATGATAGAGAAGACCAACAAAAACACATCTGCTCCCATTTTTCAAAGATTGCATATAGCCATTGATCAATAGCTAAGTCACATCAACTCCCATCTTTCAAAGATGTTCTCATAACTGCATATATATTTATCTTCATAGTGCCCCAAGTGGCTGAGCACTAAGAGAAACAAAAAGTGTTGGTACACGTCCGCCATTTCAGTACTACAAATCCCAGCTGGTGTACTCAAATACTGAACCCATCCACACCACATTAAGCATATAATGACAGAATTGAAAGAATAAGGCCAAAAGAACCTAATCAAGCAACCAAAAAAACTCATCACTAAACACGCACGATACTTAGCACTTGAACTCCTTCAATGTTCGTTAAGTTATTGACATTCCAGTGTTCATTTATAATGCAATAATAAAATCCATAAATTTATTGAAGGAATTCAACAAACATGTAGCATACTCTTACAAAATGCAATTTGTAGATTGTCCAGATCCAGAGTATCTTAGAAAATACGCAACATAATTCCTAAAGCCAGTAAACAAGAAAAAATTTAAAATTACAAAATAAATATTATGATGAGTCTAAGCCAAATCACCTGTAACTCTCACCTACTAAAATTCATTAAATAATTATATGAATTAAATTAATCACATGATAGAATTCGAAAAGAGAAGAGGTTTAGTGGTGATGGAAAAATAGAAGAAATTTAAAATTAGTTGCAACATAATTCAATGATAAATTAGGAGTTGATGATTATTTACTGTAACTAGGTGGAAGGCCTAAGTTGCGCAAATAAGTTTATTACTTTTATTTCAAGTATTGTTGTTTGTATATAATATAGTATTGTTTATGAAAGTAGCTTCGATACCATATTTGTTTGAAGAATTTAATTTTTCATATGATTGATATCTACTACAGAGTTACAAGCATTATACAGGCAGAAAAAGATCCATTGACTCTCTAATTATGTCAGTTACAGATTATACAATATATTGCCATAATTAGAAGATTACACAATATAAAGAGCATCCCAAGACTGGCCAAAATAATATATTAGAAAATATTTGTGATAGTATTTATGTGGATGTGAATGGTTTGTATTGAAGTTAATTTAATGTTGAATTAATAATTAAAGCAATAAATAATAAAGAAATTAAGAATAGCAATTTGATATAAATATTGCATGTGCGAAATGTATATTAAAATAATTACACAGGATTCAATGTACAGTAAAACTTCTCTATAGTCATAATGTTGGGACCAATTAAATTTATTACTATAAGAAGGTTATAATTTAATAAAGGTGTAGTTACAAGAATTGTTGTTTTGATTTCTTATTTTATAATTCATGCTTTAGCAGTATTAGGATTTCAATTCATTGTTTTAGTAGCATTAGGATGGTATGAAAATGGATATCAAAGAGTCACTGTAAAATTGAGTGATTAGACTCGACAACTTCATTACACTAATAAAATGGATATTAATGGCTTCCTCAATCATCCAAATGAGCAACAAGTCGTGTCTGTTTTAACTGAAGAAGAAATCATTACTAGCATTAGACAAGAAGAGGAAGGAGATAATCCTGAGGATGACAATACGGAAATACCAAAAATTTCATGCCAAGAAGCAGTAAACATGCTTGAGAGCTAAAAATATTTTGGCTTCAACAAGAAGATGTCTATGTTGGTGGCTTATTATGTACCTGCAAAATAAAAGATGTAGTAACAACTCTAAAGCATAAATCATTGTCCCAAACAACTTTGATAAATATTTTATTTCATCTTAAACCTTTAATGTAACATAGCATATAATTTTTGCAATATACATATAATTATTACTATGTAGAGACAAGTTTTTTAAAACGAGACCTAAAAAAGTTATAACTTATTACAATGTGAAATTTATTCTTATTTATAACTGGCCCAAGTTGGGACTAGAATTTTTTATGACTACATGGAGGTTATTCTTATATAGAGTATCATTATGGAGAGGCTTTACTGTATATCAATTTAATCCAAATAAGTAATATAAAATAGTATGAATAATATTATTTTGTAATTAACCTGTTTTCACCTGCGGTTGGACCAGTGTCAGTGTGCCGAACCACGAGTGCAACCCGTTTTGTGTGAAATCCGAGTTAACACTTTTCTAGGGTTCCTTTTTTTTGTTTATTTCAATTCTCTTTAATTCATTTACAAAGTTTTAGTGTGCTGAACCACCGGTCCGACCCATTTTGTGCAAAAATCGGATTACTACTTTTTTAGGGCTCTTTTCTTTTCCTTTATTTCATTTCTCTCTAATTCCTATACCAATTTCTCTCCTCGTTAGCTTTGTCTTCTGATGTTGTTGACAATTCTTTCGAAGACACTTGTAGTGTTTGTTTCAAGCCTTTTTCCACCATCGACCTAGCCTCTGTATAACTCATCTTTCTTTTCAATATATCAAATTAGCACCCTATCTGTCTAGTTTCCAATGCTTCAATCCATTCATCAATTGGACTTTTATTGAGCAAGTTATGACCAATTTACTATTGACTGTTCAATGGAAACCAAGCAACAGAGGAAAGCAAAACTTATTCAGATAAATGGTTTGGCAGCAAGGCAGATTCCATATCAAAGGCAACATATAATATATCAAATTAAAGCCCTGTCTATTTAGTTTTCAATTCTTCAATCCATTCATCAATTGGACCTTTATTGAGCACGTTATGTTTAATTTACTACTAATTGTTCAGTGGAAACCGAGAAACAGAGGAAAGCGAAATGTTTTGAATTTTGGTGATAGAAACATCCTTGGCTTGCTTCCATTCCGCTACATGAATCTTTTATCTGTAAACAACAACAACAACAAAAATTAATTGATTTTGATATTAACATTGTGAAGAGATATTCTTATCGAATTGTTGAGACCAACTGTATTGTTGAAACCAAGCTATAACATAATGCAGCAATAGGCGACCGACGATGTCATGGTGGAATGGTATCATATCACATAAATATAGATAGATATTTAATAAGAATGTGAAACTTCTGTATTTATGTGAATATGAAAGGACAAACATGAATCGATAGATCTTCTTGTTTGAATAAACAAACTTTTAAGTAGACCTTTACGATGCCACTATTTGATATCATATCTTTTCAACCAAAATGTGAAGGGCCTACAGTTATCCAAATTCAGCATATAGTATATGAAATTAAAGTCTTGTCTATCTAGTTTCTAATGCTTCAATCCGTTCATCGATTGTACTTTTATTGAGCAAGTTATAAACAATTTATTACTAACTGTTTAGTAGAAACCGAGAAACAGAGGAAAACGAAATGTTTGTGTCTTTTGGTGTGTAAAACGTTAATTGTGTGTCTTTTGGTGTGTAAAACGTTAATTGTGTGTCTTTTGGTGTGTAAAACGTCCAATGAACATGGATAGCATTAGATGTTCTTAAATTTGACTCTTGAGTTTTCTTTTGAGTAATAATATGTGTCATTAATACTAACAAATATCAAACACCAATTACATTAAGCCATGTGTAACAAAAAATTCTACACATCCATATATCCTACATTATCACCAATTACATGCAGTCAAATGTACATATCCTATATCATCACTAATTAAATGTAGTTATATGTCGAACAATCATCTAACATATCAAAATCTACCAATTTTAGAGCTTTAAAAATCCTACATGCCAATCAAATAGGTTATGTTTCAGGATTATATAAATATATAGATATAGATTGAATTCGAAGGCATGTGTTCGGTTACACGGCGTTGTCTGTTCTCGTTTCTAAGTTATATGAGTGGTGAATATTTTAAGAGTCCTGTCTATGATCTTAGATTTACATTTTCATCCTAATTAAATATCAAATTCCTAATACTTTTAATTACTACATGTTTAACCTTGTAATTTGTTTAAGCTTTACACTATTTACATATCCACCCTTAAAATCTATTCATCGAGTGGATTTCCAAGGAAAATCTATAGCCCTAGCAACTAGTCAAGTCTAATGCTACTTCTTTCCTATAGTGACATTTTGCCCTCCAAAAATATTTTTATTTCCTAAAGACATTTTGTGAGTAGATATTAATTAAATTAATCAAATTTTTTGGGGGTTAAATGATATAGTTTTTTAGGGTTTGGAAAGGTTGTTATTTTTGTTTAACCCTCTATGTTTTTGGTTAATTTTGAAAGTCCCTTAGTATTAAAAAAAAAAAAAGTGTGAGAGTGAGATTGAGGTCTTTCTTTATTTCTAATCCTCTTCTAGAGTTGTTCATTTATATCAACGATAACCATCGCTCTTTTGTATACTTCCATCTATGTTTCTGGTTTCTGGTTTATTATTTATTATTTATTATGATTATTGCTATTATTATTATTTCGTAGGAAACACCATGATTTTGCTTTTTGTTACACCCTTTAAAAAGCATATCTGTTATCATCCCAACTTTGCTTCACTATGGTATCTTTTCTTCGAATCAAAGAGTTACAATATCTCACTATTTAATTATTATAGTTGCAGAAAAAGACCAAACTAACATGTTGGACTATGTTCATTTGCATGTGCTACCATTTCCATGCATTCACTTACCTACACAAAACATTCAAAGAAAACCTCTAAACTGTAGCATCATGTTTTTGATATTTCTCTTGTCTCTCTTTCAAGTTCTTGTTTCATCTGCATCTTTACCTCCATCTGCCATTTCCCTTCTCCAGTTTATTGACAGCCTCCCACAACAATCCCAACATATATTGTTCTGGAACCACTCCATTTCAGCTTGCTAATGGCCAGGCGTTTCTTGTTACAACAACAATACTTTTCACACCAAGGCCTTAAACCTCTCAGGCTTTGGAATCTCTGGTGTTTTAAACAACTCCATTTCTTATATCTGCCAAAATAAGTATCTACTCTCTCTTGACCTTAGTGGCAACAATTTTACTGGTAACATACCTCTGCAGCTTGGGAAATGTGGCCAACTCACTACTATTCTTCTGAACGACAATGGCTTTCAAGGCCCCATCCCTCCTCAACTTTTCCAATCAAATCAACTTTCAAAGCTTGACTTGGGCTATAATTTCCTCTCAGGTAATATTCCTCCTGAGGTAAGCCTCTGCCAGAGTCTTGAGTACATTGGAGTTTACAACAATTATTTAAGTGGCGAGGTTCCAAGTGAAATATATTCTCTTCCAAAGTTGAAGTTTTTGTATTTGAACACAAATAACTTCACTGCTTCATTACCAGAATTCTCAACTTCATGTGCAATTTCCCATCTTTGGATTCATGAGAATGCATATTATGGATCTTTACCTCTTACACTCACCAATTGCCACAATCTTACTATGTTAATAGCATCTTTTAATAATTTTGCAACCAGGGATATTTAAGGGTCTTTTACAGCTTCAAGTTCTTTACCTTGAGGAAAAAAACCTTGAAGGGCCCATTCCTGAGACTCTGTGGAGTCTTGAAAATCTGCAAGAGCTTGTTCTTTCAGGGAACAAAATCAATGGAACTATATCTGATAAGACTGGTAATTGCAAGCAGTTGGTTGTTGTTGCTCTCTCAGGTAATAATTTGGTGGGTTACATTCATAAATCAGTAGGAAATCTAAGCGGCTTAAACAGTTTGTTTCTCTTTGATAACATGCTTGAGAGCTCATTACCTGCTGAACTTGGAAACTGCAATTCACTTGTAGAACTCAGGCGTCAGAATAACTTTATTGGAGGAACTATCCCTCCAGAAATTTGCAATCTTGAGAAACTTGAGGTTCTTTATCTATTCAATAATTGTATCGAAGGTTATATTCCGATTGAGATTGGTAATATGAACAACCTAGTGCAGTTGGCTGTGTATAACAACAGTTTGACAGGTAGAATCCCATCAGCAATAACTGATTTGAAGAAACTTAAATTTCTATCCGTAGCTCACAATAATCTCATTGGCGAGGTTCCATCTGAGCTTGGGAAAAATTATCCATATCTAGAAAAATTGGATTTAACTGGGAACAGTTTTTATGGGGCAATTCCTTCTAGCATATGTACTGGCAATAAACTTTCTGTTTTATCCCTCGGAAACAATCATTTTAATGGGAGCTTCCCAATTGAAATCGGAAAATGTTCATCTCTCAGTAGAGTAATTCTAAGGAACAATCTTCTCCAAGGAAGTATTCCTACTAACTTGGATAGTGATAGACCTCCCATTAAAAATGTCTATCAATACAAAGGGCATAAGGGGCATTTGGGGCAGTAAGTCGTTGGGAGTGTGAGGTGCATGTTTGTTGGGAGAATTGGTTATTACTGTCACGTGTTGGTGGGGAATCAAGTTGTTAGTGGAGGGAATATTTTAGTTAAGGAAATAGTATAAATAGAGAGGTTAGTTTTACGAAAGGAAACGATAATATTTTAGAGTCATTAAGGGAGGCCCCCAGCTCCTCGAATTGCTGGGAACTATCTGTTTTGAGTTCTTATTGTGTAGTTTTTCTTTAATTTCATTCTCTAGAAATATAATCCAGTTTAGCCTTGATTTGGTGAACTCTTTTCTCTACTATTTTGGGTTGTTTGTGCTGTTTTTGTGGTAATTGTAGCAGGGAGTCCCATCAAATTGGTATTAGAGCCTCGTTTGGGTGATGGTTAAATCGAAGATGGATAACAGAGTTGAAGGGTTGGAAAAGGAAATGGGGAACGTAGAGAAGGAAATGGGAAATGTGAGGGAAGAGCTAGGGAGCATCAAAGGCTACCTACTGGAGCTTTGCGAACGGATGAGGGTAAAGGAAGAAAGAGATATAAATCTGAGCCGTGATAGGGGAAAGACATCTCACTCTGAGCCCTCCAACAATAGTGACAGCCGGGGAGTCGATAGGAACAAGAAAGCAGAGAACTCGAAGGATGAGAGGAAGGGGAAAAAGTTGGAGCTACCGATATTTAACGGGGAAGATCCTTATGGTTGGACATTCAGAGTTGACCGATATTTCTTGATGAACCAATACGAAGATGGAGAAAAGGTCATAGCGGCCGCCGTGTGTATGGAGGGTCGTGCCCTGAACTGGTATTAGTGGGTGGAGTCTAGAGCACCAATTAGTTCTTGGAAAGACTTTAAGACCGCCGTGGTTGAGAGATTCAGACCTACTTTTAAAGGATCAGCTTATGAAGCTTTTGTAGCGCTGAAGCAGACTGGTATAGTGATAGAATACAGGGAGAATTTTGAAGCTCACGCAGCCCCCTTACACAAGGTAGGAGAAGATATCCTGATGGGGGTTTTTACGAATGGGCTAAAGGAGGAAGTCAGAGCTGAATTATGTTTAACTCAGCCCACTTCCCTTTTTGCGCTGATGGATCAGGCCCATTGCGTGGAGGAAAGAAAATGGGTTCTAGAAAAAAAAAAAAAAAAAAAAAAAAAAAAAACAGACCCAGGTTTGCTAAGGCCCAAGTGAATAGAATGGATAATTATACTCGGGTCACCCCAAGCCCAGAACCTGGGCACCCAAACTCATGGGTCAATCCACCACGAAACCCAGAGTTAGGTTAGAATTTGTTCCCAAATCGATTTCATGACAGAAATCGATTTGTCGAATCCATGACGCCGAACTTTCGCAGGGAAACTTTTCGGCAAATGTCCGACGCCGAATTGCAGCATAAGCGTGACAAAGGCCTCTATTTCTGCTATGATGAGAAATTTGGGCCAAATCATAGATGCAGGAGCAAGTTGATCCAGATCCTGTTAGTGACCAATGACAACGAAACGGAAAAAGACGAAGTCAGTCCTGAACCCATCTCGGAAGCTTCCGACGAAGGTAACCCTTTGGCTTTATCTATGCATTCAATTGTAGGGGTAACCACAGATAAAACCCTAAAACTCAAAGGGATGGTTGGAGGGGAGGAGGTGATTAAACTGGTTGACAGTGGGGCTTCCCACAATTTTATTTCGCATGATTTGGTGCGAAAATTAGGTCTGGCAGTTGAGAGAGGGAAATCATTTGGGGTTATGGTAGGGAATGGCTTTACAGTTAAAGGGGAGGGTATTTGTAGAGGAGTGAAATTGAGGATACAAGGGATTGAATTGAGGCAAGAATATTTTCCATTTGAATTAGGAGGGGCAGATATGGTGTTGGGACTTTCTTGGCTCAGTACATTGGGCGATGTGTGTGCCAATTGGAGAAATCTAACAATGGCATTTATCAGTGAAGGGAAGAGGGTAGTTTTACAAGGGGATCCTTCTTTAGTCAAGACGGTTGGTCACTTAAGGAAATGCTAACATCTCTGCAGAGGGAGGATGCTGGTTATGTGATTGAATTTTGTTCCATCCGTATTAAGGGAGAGGAAACAGAGGAACCCATTGATCCTGCAGCTGTTGAAGTTGTAGATGGATTTAGCCACTTGTTTGAACAGCCTACTAAGCTACCACCTAAGAGACCCATTGACCACGCAATAGTCTTAGAAACTAATGCCAAACCCTCTAACATTCACCCCTATAAATACTCATATTCCCAAAAAAATGAAATCGAAAAGTTGGTGGGTGAGATGTTGGTGGCAGAAATTATACAACCCAGTACCAGTCCCTTTGCTAACCCTATGTTGTTGGTTAAGAAGAAAGATGGTAGTTGGCGTTTTTGTGTAGATTACAGGGCACTCAATAACCTCACTATCCCAGACAAGTTCCCCATCCCCTCAATTGATGAATTGCTGGATGAGCTGTCAAGGGCAGCAATTTTTACAAAACTGTATCTAAAATCAGGTTACCACCAGATTAGGATTAAGGAGGAGGATGTACCCAAAACAGCCTTTCGGACTCATGAAGGGCATTATGAATTCTTGGTCATGCCTTTTGGATTAACCAACGCCTCTTCCACCTTTCAAGCTTTAATGAATACCATGTTTAAACCGGTTTTGAGGAAGTTCACACTCGTGTTTTTTGACAATATCCTCATTTACAGCCCTGATTTGAAGACTTACCTGCTCCACATGAGACAAGCCTTTCAAATCCTCACCAAGCATGAATTAGTAGTAAATTACAAGAAGTGTATGTTTGCCCATCGGAGATTTAAGTATTTGGGTCACTTAATTTCATTAAAGGGGGTAGAGGTTGACCCACAAAAGATTGAATCAATGTTATCTTGGCCAATTCCACGCACAATCAAAGGATTAAGGGGATTCTTGGGGCTAACTGGCTACTATCGCCGCTTTGTACAGAATTATGGTTCAATCGCGCAACCTTTAACACAGTTGTTGCGAAAGGACTCTTTTGCATGGAATGACCAATTACAGCGAGCTTTTGAAGCCCTTAAAATAGCAATGATATTAGTCCCTGTTCTGGCAGTCCCTGATTTTACCCTTCCATTTGAAGTTCACACGGACGCTTCGGGACAAGTTATTGGAGCTGTCTTGGTACAGAATCAGCGCCTTATTGCATTCCTTAGCCAAGCCTTCTCTAGCCAGTCCCGACAAAAATCGGTGTACGAAAGGGAACTGATGGCAATTGTGTTTTCTGTCCACAAATGGAGCCACTACCTTCGTGGGCAAAAATTTATCATTAAATTTGACCAATGAAGCCTGTAGTTTTTAACAGATCAACGAGTTAAGATACCCGAGCAGCAAAAGTGGATTTCTAAGCTCCTAGGGTCCTCTTTCGAAATCCATTACCAACCTGGAAGCTCCAACCAAGTGGCTAATGCCTTGTCTAGAAGAGGAGAAGGGACTGAATTGGAGGCCATTTTGGTGGTCCAATTTTCAGAATTTGATGACTTAGCAGCTGAAGCACAACAAGATCCTAAGCTCTAAGCAATCATCCAAGAACTTCTTTTTTACCCCTCCAATCGACCCTATTATGGCTTTCGCCATGGCTGCCTCATCTACAAAAACAGGTTGGTCTTACCAAAAAATTCAAAGTTCATTCCGAAGCTGTTAGACGAATTTCTCTGCAGCCCAAGAGGGGGTCATTCAGGTTTTTTCAGAACCTATAAAAAACTGATGAATATAGTGTTTTGGGACGGTATTAAGAAGGATGTGCAGGATTATGTCCAGCGGTGTTCCATTTGTCAATTAAATAAATATTCTGCTTTAAAACTAGCAGGCCTCCTTCAGCCCTTACGCATTCCCTCCCAGGTTTTTGAAGATATTAGCATGGACTTCATGGGAGGGTTACCCAAAGCAAAAAGGCAGGATACCATAATGGTAGTGGTGGATAGACTCACCAAATACGACCATTTCATTTCCCTGTGCCACCCCTACAGCGCTAAGGATGTCGCTACTATTTTTATCTCCAACATTATGAAGCTCCATGGTTTTCCAAAGTTCATTGTTTCAGACCGAGATAGGTTCTTTGTCAGTCACTTTTGGCAGGAACTGTTCAAGGTCGCTGGCATCTCTTTGAAGTTTAGTTCGGCATACCACCATCAAACCAATGGCCAGATAGAGGTGGTCAATCGTTGTTTGGAAACTTACTTGCGATGTTTTTGTAGCTCGCATCCCAAACAATGGCATCGGTGGTTGCCCTGGGCAGAATATTAGTACAATACCATATATCACAGCTCCACTAAAATGACCCCCTTCAAAGCTCTATATGGCAGGGATCCACCCACTCTTCTCAAATTCATAGATTACCCCTCCTCAGTGGAAAAAGTAAACCAGCAAATGGCTGCAGGAAATTCCATCTTGGATGACCTAAAGCATAACTTGTCTGTTGCTCAAGGGCAGATGAAGGAAACAGTTGACCTACGCTGTCGGGATATTAGTTTTCAACTTGGAGACCAGGTGTATTTGAAGCTCCAACCATATCGTTTCAAGTCATTGGCCAAAAAGCTGAATGAAAAGCTGAGTCCTCGGTTTGATGGCCCTTTTCCTATATTGGAGAAGATTCGGCAGGTTGCTTACAGGTTGGAGCTGCCCTCTATGGCAAAAATTCATCCAGTCTTTCACATCTCTCAGCTTAAACGAAGTCTACACACCTCTGTACCCATCCAGCCACTTCCAACTTTCCTCACCGAGGACATGGAACTTCTTGTTCAACTAGAATCGATGTTGGCAGTCCGCACTTTATTGGATGGCTCTTGGGAAGTTCTTATAAAATGGAAGGACCTGGCTTCATTTGAAGCTTCTTGGGAGGCTTACGATGTTATCAAGATGCAATTTTCTCATTTCCACCTTGAGGACAAGGTAGCTCTTCATGGAGGGGTATTGATAGACCTCCCATTAAAAATGTCTATCAATACAAAGGGCATTTGGGGCATTTGGGGCAGTAAGTTGTTGGGAGTGTGAGGTGCATGTTTGTTGAGAGAATTGGTTATTACTCTCACGTGTTGGTGGGGAATCAAGTTGTTAGTGGAGGGAATATTTTAGTTAAGGAAATAGTATAAATAGAGAGGTCAATTTTAGGAAAGGACACGACACTATTTTAGAGTCATTGAGGGAGGCCCCCAGCTCCTCGAATTGCTGGGAACTATCTGTTTTGAGTTCTTACTGTGTAGTTTTTCTCTAATTTCATTCTCTAGAAATATAATCCAGTTTAGCCTTGATTTGGTGAACTCTTTTCTCTGCTATTTTGGGTTGTTTGTGCTATTTTTGTGGTAATTGTTGCAGGGAGTCTATAAAGACAGATTGCAAGAATCAAGGTCAAGATTGAACAGAGCACATCTAGCCTACAATCAAGCAAGATCATTCACAATCAAGTCTGTGTATTTTTGTAACTGCTGCATATCTGTAATTGCTGCATAATTTTAGCTAAATTGATATACATTGCCGTAAATAGTTTTTCTAGCTGTGTATATAACTCAGCACATATTACATCAATAAAGTGTGGAAAAATTATTCATTGAAACCATTGTAATCTTCATTAATTTATATGGTATCAGAAGAGCCGATCCCTAACGAGTCAACGATCCAAATCTCCACTATGTCTTCCTCCTCTGATCAAAATCCAACCTTTACCCTCAACACCCAACCTCCTTCCGCAACAGACAAACAACTCATTGCTCTCAATATCACTGCCCAAATCAATGAAAAATTAACTCCCTCCACCTTCCCTCAATGGCATGCTCAATTTGAAGCACTCCTCATCGGTTATGATTTACTCAACTATGTCGAAGGCACCTCTTTGTGCCCCTCTTCCACTGGAACTGCCGTTGAAAAGCTACGCAAGACCCACTGGATCCGACAGGATAAACTTCTCTTGAGTGCCTTTCTCGCCTCCACCTCTCCGTCAATCACACCACTCATTGCTACGGCAAAGACCTCTCATGAAGCCTGGAAAAAACTAAAAACCTTATATGCTAGTCGATCACGCACTCGTGCCATGCAGTTAAAGGAGGAGCTCACCTTAATCCAGCGCGACAATCGATCGATCACAGACTATCTTCATGCTGTGAAGGCCTTGGCTGATGAAATCGCCATTATTGATCATCCTATTTCCAATGATGATTTAACTCTCTATGTCTTGAACGAGTTAGGATCAGATTTCCAGGAGATTGTTGCACCGATCCGAGCAAGAGAGAAGTCCCTGGTGTTTGAAGAGCTGCACGATCTCTTGGTTGGTCATGAATCTTATCTTCGGCGTTTGGAGACAGCTACTCAGCAAATGGTGATGATGGCTAATTACACAACTAAGGGCAAGTCTTCTTCTGGAGGTGACTTTTCAAAGACTTCTTATACACCCAATGGGTATCAACGTAACCAAGGCCAAAGCCCAGCCCGTCTATTTAATAGTCACCAACGTGATGGCTGACGTCCTAATAATGGATCTGGTAAGCACAACAACACTCAGAAACGTTACACGCCCCGCTGTCAGTTGTGTGAGAAAATGGGTCATACTGCAAAATACTGTCCTCAGCTACAGTCCAATGAATTTACAGCCAACTGTGTCACTTCTTCTAATGGCAAAGACAAAACATGGCTCATGGACTCAGCAGCCTCTCACAATATAACGAGTGATCTTGCAAATTTGTCCATTCACTCTGAATATGATGGTACTGATGAAGCAATTCTTGGTGATGGTTCAGGTTTGACTGTCTCTCACATTGGTTCTTTGAAATTACACTCACCCAAACGCACCTTTATCTTAAGTGATACTCTTTGCGTTCCAAATCTTTCTAAAAATTTAATTTCCGTTCATCATCTCACCAAACAAAATAATGTTTTTGTTGAATTTCACCCGTTTCATTTCTTTGTGAAGGACAAGATCACGGGGGCGATTCTACTTCGAGGAGCATGTGAAAATGGTGTTTACACCTTCCCGGAATCAATGATGTCTTCTGGTGTGCTGTCGTAGGCACCCAGAATTAAAACCTAAAAATACACGTAGTAGTGTAAGTCAGGGTCGATCCCCAAGAGTGTCTAGCTGAATTTGCTGTTATGTGAACAAGCTGGGGGGTTCTGTGTAAAACAGGAAACGTTCTTAGCAAAAACCAAAAACAAAAACAGTTCAATTCGAAATCAATTAATATAACGAAACTTGGTCTCCGTCAACATCCACCATCGGAATCTCCACAACTGATCATTGATGCAAAAATAATCAATTCATACATTGAATATTCACCGTTGGAACTATTTTCCTATCTCTCCTTAATTTTAATTAATTAGGAAACAAGCGCTCTTAATTAATCTTACCACTAAACAACCCTAGACAAGCGCTCAAGATTTAATCTAGTGGCAGCCTTAAGAATTAGAGAGACGATGAAGCTAAACAACACAAAACACAAGCGGTTGTATTTAATTTAGTTGAATGTTCTTCGTAAGGTTATTAATTCCTGACGCAACAAATTACTAACCCTAATTGCTTCGCAAGTTGGAGGGATCAAACAATTACGGATTTGATGTCTAACTTAGCAGTAGATTGCGACAATTAATAACTAGTAGGCCTCCCTAGTAATTAAACGAAACAATCATAAAATTAGGCATAGAAAAACATCCAATACTCAAACACGAAAATTGAACACAAAGAAAATATATTAGATCTCACAGTTTATCGATTCCGAGGCTTCCGTTTACTTCGACCAGGTTATCAAAATCAGCCTCTCATGGCCATCACCGGATTACAGAGGAAAAATTCAGAGAAGACCAGAGAGAGGCGTGTGTCCACCAAAACCTATCTGATCCCCCTTCTCAAAAATCTAATTCAAGTGTTTGAATTCAACTCAACTCCTAAAATATTCTAATATCCTAAAATCAATTATCCTAATCTGATTCTAATTAATGAAAATACAATAAAGTCTTAAAAATAAAAATAGGAAAGTGATGTGTCCAGCTGTAACTGTGTGCCACATGTCTTCAAATCTTCCAATATAAACTGCCTCTGGACTTGCATTACAAGGCAGAATGTTCCGGAACATCGGCAGTGCAGATGCGTCAACTTCAAGCCCATTACAACCTTGATGCAGCAATTATCTCTCCAAAATAAAAACATAAAGTTGTAGATTATTTTTAGCGTTCTACAGAATTTTGAATCATCTCAAGCGGAGCTCAGATGAGAGAGTTATGCCCAAAATAAGAAACAACGTCAAAACTGTCCGAATTCTTAATTAGTTCCGTTTTGCAAGTAACGCTCCCATTTGCTTCCTAAGTCAAAATAGAATAAAATCAGTACATTTTAGGAAGCAAATAGGTATAAAAGACTAGGCATTAAGGGGGTAAATATGACATTTTGCATTCTCATCAAATTCCCCCCACTTAGCTTTTGCACGTCCTCGGGCAAACTAATTCAAACAAACACTACACTCCAGTCAAATCCAGAACACCATCATCTCAAGTCATATCCAGAACATTAACATGATGCATAAGAAACAGTATTTAATCCATGCATATTCATACCTAACTTAGGAAGCAGCAAAATAAAATAAAGTTATAGTTATGACATTCATCTCTCTTCATCATTTTCCACAATTACTCTCAATTAGTCAATGCAAACAAGGAAACTAATCACAACCAATCGTGTACAACTCACTCTCAATTTTTCTCAACTGTTTCTCTTTACTACTACAAACTGGGTAGCAAACTAGGGATAAATTTTTTTCTGTTTTTTTTTTTCTTTTTTTTTCTGTAAAGAAAAAAAAACATGAGTGCATTTTATGCTCCATCTCATTCATGGTTGTGTTATGAGTGAGTGCGTTTTACGCTCCATCTCGACTCACCACATACCTTTCTTTTCTTTTTCCTATTTGCATAAACCCAATTTAGGACTAGCTTAAGAGAAACAATTTTTTCTTTTTCCTTTAAGGGTTGTTATACACTCCTCATCATGCTTCGTCACCAAGTTCACACAACTTCTCAAGACATATTGTTTCAAGACTACAAAGATTCAAATCTGATTAACTCTATTTTATGAAATATGCTAACATTCTAAGTCAAGGAATATGCTCAACAACATCAAGTTACTATTTCATGCATCACTAGACGTTCAAAGACATGACTTAAAGCATAAACCTTCCTAAAAACAAATGCGGGGGAATTTCGTTTAAGGTGTACGTGGCGTTGTTATACCCGAGGTTGCCAAGTACTGCTAGGCAGTTTTAAGGCGGGTTCTGGTTTCCAGCCGATATACCCTTAAACTAGGCAGATTTTTTTTTTTTTTTTTTTTTTTAACGTAACTTAAAACACAACCTAAACAAAACCTAAATCCTCCCCCACTTAAACTGACATTGTCCCCAATGGAAGATGAAATGCAAAGAAAAGGGCAAAAATAACCAAAATTAAAATGCAAGAAAAGAAACAAACTCCCCTTGGGTTGCCTTCCAAGCAGCGCCTTTGTTTATTGTCGTTGGCTCGACTCAAAGCTGTCGTCTTCAATCTGAATAAGTCGGATCCTCAAGGTCCAATCCTGCCACATTTTCTTCTTGGAGACCTTCATAGAAAGTCTTAAGTCTATGGCCATTCACCTTGAACACTTTCTAAGTTCCTAAACTTTGAATTTCAACTGCACCATGAGGAAAATATTAGTAACAACAAAAGGTCCAATCCAGAACGCAACTTACCTGGAAACAACGAAGTCGTGAATTGTATAGAAGGACTTTTGACCAACTTTAAACTCTTTCCTAGAGCTATCCTGTCATGAAAAGCCTTCGTCTTTTCCTTGTAAATCCTTGCATTCTCATAGGCCTCATTGCGAATTTCCTCTAACTCTTGCACTTGCAACTTCCTATGTTCTCCACTTTCATCCACTTCATGTTAAAACTCTTGATCGCCCAATAAGCCTTGTGTTCTAACTCAACTGGAAGATGGCATGCTTTCCCAAACACCAAACGAAAAGGTGACATACCAATGGGCGTCTTATATGCAGTCCTATATGCCCACAAGGCATCATCCAAACGCAAACTCCAGTCTTTTCTACTTGTGACCGTCTTCTCAATGATGGACTTGATCTCTCGATTTGACACTTCCGCTTGTCCACTAGTTTGCGGATGATAGGCAGTAGACACTTTGTGGGTTACATGATACTTTCGCAGCAAAGCCTCCACAGTTCGATTGCAAAAGTGAGTGCCTCGATCACTGATTAGAGCTCTTGGAATTCCAAACCTGCAGAAAATGTTAGACTTGATAAAATCTGCAACAACTTTAGAATCATCAGTCCTAGTGGCTTTAGCTTCCACCCATTTCGAGACATAATCAACAGCAAGCAAAATATAAACATAACCAAAAGATAAAGGAAACGGTCCCTGAAGTCGATGCCCCAAACATCAAAAATTTCGCAAAATAGAATGGGGGTTTGGGCATCTCATTTTTTTGGGATATATTACCTGTCCGTTGACAATTATCGCATGACTTACAAAAAGAGTATGAATCTCGAAATAAAGATGGCCAAAAGAAACCACATTCTAGCACTTTTCTCGCTGTCCTCTTAGCTCCAAAGTGACCTCCACATGCATAAGAATACAAAAGGTGAGAATGGAAAAAATTTCAGTTTCTTGAACGCACCTTCTTATTACTTGATCTGCACAATGCTTCCATAAGTAGGGGTCATCCCACACATAGTATTTGGCATCACTCTTCATCTTATCTCTTTGAGCCCTAGACAAACCAGGAGGAAAAATGTTAGTAACCAAATAATTTACAAGGTTTGCATACCAAGTAATGTCACGCTCTGTGGAGAACAATTGCTCGTCAGGGAACGTTTCTTGCAAATGAAGTTCATCCTCCACGTGAACTAGACGACTCAAATGATCCGACACGATTTTCTGTCCTCTCTCTTTGCTTTGATCTCCAAATTGAATTCACTCAAGAGAAGTATCCACCTTATTAATCTCGGTTTTGCCTTTTTCTTCGTCATCAAATAACGCAAAGCTGCATGATCAGAAAAAACAACTATTTTAGTACCAAGCAAATAAGATCGAAACTTTTCTAAAGCAAAAACAACAGCTAAAAGTTCTTTCTCAGTGGTGGAATAATTTTTCTGGGCATCATTCAAAATCCTGGAAGCATAAATGGCTGAGATGCTTTTCCAATCCTTTGACCCAAACAGCGCCTACTGCATAATCATTTGCATCGCACTTATCTCAAAAGGAACATTCCAGTCAGGGGGTGGATAATTGGGGTAGAAGTCAGCAGTTCCTTCAGCTTGTCAAACGCCACTTACATGCCTCATCGAGCTCAAAACCACATCCTTTGCAGCAACTTACATAGGGGTAATGCTATTTTGGAAAGTCTTTGATGAATCTTCGATAAAAACCTGCATGTCCAAGAAAGAACGAACTTCCCGCACACTAGTGGGATAAGGTAAAGATTGAATAATGTCAACTTTGGCTTCTACCTCATGCCCCTAGATGAAACAACATGACCCAAACTAGACCTTGATCTACCATAAAATGACATTTTCAGAATTTACACAAGGCTAGTTTCTATGCATCTTTGAAGAACAAGTGTAAGGTTATGTAAACAATTATCGAAAGAGTTTCCATAAACTGTGAAATCATCCATAAAAACTTCTATGATATGCTCAACATAATCTGAAAATATGCTAACCATACACCTTTGGAAAGTGGCAGGGGCGTTGCAAAGGCCAAAGGGCATACGGCGGTATGCAAAAGTTCCAAATGGGCATGTAAAAGTCATCTTCTTGATCCTCCGGGGCAATCGCAATCTGAAAATAACCTGAATAACCATCAAGGAAACAGTAGTAAGAATGACCAGCTAACCTTTCAAGCATTTGATCAATAAAAGGTAAAGGAAATGTTCCTTCGCGTTACAGCATTTAATTTCCTGTAATCTATACAAACCCGCCACCCATTTTCAACACGGTAGGAACTCCTCACTGATTTTTCACAACAGTTATTCCGGTCTTTTTAGGAACACTTGAACAGGGCTAACCCAATTGCTATCTGAAATGGGATAAATCACTCCAACTTCAAGAAGTTTCAGGATCTCCTTCTTCACAACATCCATCATAGGCGGATTCAACTCTCTTTGCGGTTGACGGAAAGTTTTGCTCATTCTTCAAGTAGGATACTGCATGCATGTAGACGGACTAATTCCTTAATATCTGTAATTTCCAACCAATAGCCGTCTTATGCTCCTTAAGGACCTGCACAAGTTTCTCTTCTTGCGATGCACTAAGTTTGCTGGAGATGATCACCGATAATGTTTCTTGTCTCCAAGGAACACGTACTTGAGGTAGCTGGGGAGGGGCTTCAATTCTGGAATGGGGGCCTGCAAAACAGAGGTAAAGGCCTCTCATCAGAAATTGGTAATGCCATAAAAGAAACATTACCTGACTGCTGTAACTTTGGAGATCGTTCAAAGCTGCAACAGTTTCCTGCAAATCAGAACTCCAAGCTAATTCCTCATCCTTTTCCTCGAGATGCTCACTAATGGCAACTTCCAATCCATCTTCTCTGTCAAGTTCAAAAACTTCCTGTGCTAAAGATCAATCACATCAATAGATAACATGATTATCACATCATCAGGATATTTCATGGCATCATAAATATTAAACTTGACAATTCACCATCAAATTCCATGGTAAGTATACCACTATGAACATCTATCTTAGTCTTGGATGTTTTTAAGAATGGTCTTCCTAACAAAATAGGGGCAGTTTGATCACCATTTTCCATATCAAGCACATAGAAATCAGTAGGGAAGACTAAGCCATTAACTTGAACCAAAATATCTTCAACTACTCCCTTAGGATAGGCATTAGATCTATCAGCTAATTGAATCACCACACCAGTTTTTCAAAGGTTCAAGTTTCAAAGAAGCATAAATAGAGTATGGCATGACATTTATGAAGCTCCTAAGTCTATCATGGCCTTCTCAAACCTAGTGTTACCTATCGTACAAGGGATAGTAAACATACCTGGATCCTTGCACTTCGCTGAGTTTTCTCTGAATCACAGCAGAACATTCTCTCCCACTCTCCTTTTCACACCCCTTAAGTTTCTGTTCCTCTTAAGTGTACACAATTCCTTCAAAAATTTAGCATAACGAGGTACTTGTTTGATAGCATCTAAAAGTGGAATATTACCTCGCATCTACGAAAAGTCTCATACATCTCTGTTTTGCTCATCTTTTCTGGATTCTGCTAAAGCTTGAGGAAAAGGTGGTATTGGTTTATACTCGACAAAGGTGGAAACTTACGCTTAGGAACACCATCGCATTGGAACGTTGTTGTCTACAACTACATCTTTCTCCTTTTCTTCCTTCGACGATGCAGGGCTGCCTTTGTTGGAATCTCAACCCTTTACCACTTCTCAAGACAATCGCACTTGCATTTTCTTTTGGGTTGACCACTGTTTGAGAGGATAATTTCCCTGAACTTTGTGCCTCCAGCTTACTGATTGCGGTTGCCATCTGCCCCATTTGATCTCTAAACTTTGAACACTAGCTCTCGTCTCCTGTTGAAATTGCAAAGTGTTAGTAGCAAGAGACTTAACAATATCTTCTAAAGACATACCAGAATTAGCAGTTTGGTCCGGTTGTTGTCTAGGGGGGTTGGCTGCTTATACTGCTGGTAATTTGGCGGTTTTGAGGGTAGGGCTGACTCATTTGTTGATTCCCATAGCCAAGATTAGGGTGATCCCTCCATCCAGGGTTATATGTGCTCGAATAAGGATCATACTTCCTTTGCGGTTGTCCAGGGAAACCACCTGCTGCATTCAGTTGCTCAACAGGCTCCTCTTGAAGAGTTGGGCACATGTCAGTTGGATGCCCTACTACCGAACAAATCCCGCAAGCCTTCACTGTTTGTATGTTACCTACAGCCATTTGATGAACAAGAGAAGTTAGACTCGAGATTTGTTGTTCTAGGGAAGAAATATTTACCTCTATATCACGCCTAGATGGAAGGTCAACCTACTGCCAAACTGTTGAGAATTGGCTGCCTATTTGCAATCAAAGTTCTCCGCGGCCTCGGGAGTCTTATCCACCACTCCTCCACTTGCAGCATCAATCATGCTCCTATCAGTATATGTAGGCCCTCATAGAAATATTATAAGTAACTGCTCACTAATCTGATGATAGGGCAGCTTGCACACAATTTCTTAAAACGCTCCCGTATTCATGTAAGGACTCTCCGTTGTGCTGCCTATACCACAAATTTCTTTCCGAATGTTTGCTGCCCTCGAAGCTGGGAAGTATTCTCCAAAATAATCTCTTCATCTCGTTCCATGTGTTATAGTTCCGGAGGGTAGATAATAGAGCCAATCCTTAGCCGCATCCTCAAAGAAAACGGGAAGGCTCTTAATTTATTTGCTCCTCGGTCACCCCGTAGGTTTCATACTCGTGCAAACCACATGAAGCTCCTTTAGATGCTTGTGAGGGTCTTCACCTGCAAGACCATGAAAAGTGGGCAAGAGATGTATTAGTCCAGATTTCAATTCAAAAGTAGTAGCAGCATCTAAAACAGGAAAAGTTATGCATAAAGGTGCTTGATTCAAATCAGGGGCAGCAAGCTCTTTCAAAGTCCGATTTCCAGCCATGACGTCTTCCTTCTAAATCAGAATTGCTTCCTCGAAATCTCTCCGAACTTCCTTTCTTACTTGCGCAAAGTGGTCTCTATTTCCGGATCGAATGTTAAATCACCAAGATGAGAGGACCTGGTCATAAACAAAAAATCCCATAAAAGAAAAAGGAAAAATAATGAAAACCTACTAAAAAAAATAAAATAAAAAAAAAAAATTGACCAGAAACAACAAAAACAGCCAAAACCCTATCAAACAACGTTTTTTGGCCTCGAGAGGGTGGGGCTAGTAAATCCTTAATGGATGACTAGTCTTGTGCAGAATTTCGTTTTCTTCGAAACGGGTACTCGCACCATCCTAATTCCACCAAATTCCTGCCGTGAACAGTACTGCAAAAAAAAATTTTTTTTTTTCTGGAAAATAAAAATAAAATAACAAAAACAAGATAAAAAATCACAACAAACACAAAACAAAAACAAAAAAAAACAAAAAATCAACTAGAATCACTCCCCGGCAACGGCGCCAAAATCTGGTGTGCTGTCGTAGGCACCCAGAATAAGACCTAAAAATACACGTAGTAGTGTAAGTCAGGGTCGATCCCGAAGATGTTCTAGCTGAATTTGCTGTTATGTAACAAGGCTGGGGGGTTCTGTGTAAAACAGGAAACGTTCTTAGCAAAAACCAAAAACAAAAACAGTTCAATTCGAAATCAATTAATATAACGAAACTTGGTCTCCTCAACATCCACCATCGGAATCTCACAACTGATCATTGATGCAAAAATAATCAATTCATACATTGAATATTCACCGTTGGAACTATTTTCCTATCTCTCCTTAATTTTATTAATTAGGAAACAAGAGCTCTTAATTAATCTTACCACTAAACCACCTAGACAAGCGCTCAAGATTTAATCTAGTGGCAGCCTTAAGAATTAGAGAGATCGATGAAGCTAAATAACACAAACACAAGCGGTTGTATTAATTTAGTTGAATGTTCTTCGTAAGTGTATTAATTCCTGACGCAGCAAATTACTACCCTAATTGCTTCGCAAGTTGGAGGGATCAAACAATTACGGATTTGATGTCTAACTTAGCAGTAGATTGCGACAATTAATAACTAGTAGGCCTCCCTAGTATTAACGAAACAATCATAAATTAGGCATAGAAAAACATCCATACTCAAACACGAAAATTGAACACAAAGAAAAATATATTAGATCTCACAGTTTATCGATTCCAAGCTTCCGTTTACTTCGACCAAGTTATCAAAATCAGCCTCTCATGGCCATCGCCGATTACAGAGGAAAAATTCAGAGAAGACCAGAGAGAGGCGTGTGTCCACCAAAACCTAATCTGATCCCCCTTCTCAAAAATCTAATCACAGTGTTTGAATTCAACTCAATCTCCTAAAATATTCAATATCCTAAAATCAATTATCCTAATCTGATTCTAATTAATTGAAAAACAATAAAGTCTTAAAAATAAAATAGGAAAGTGATGTGTCCAGCTGTAACTCGTGTGCCACATGTCTTCAAATCTTCCAATAATAAACTGTCTCTTGGACTTGCATTACAAGGCAGAATGTCCAGAACATCGGCAGTGCAGATGCGTCAACTTCAAGCCCAATTACAACCTTGATGCAGCAATTATCTCTCCAAAATAAAAACATAAAAGTTGTAGATATATTTCTTAGCGTTCTACAGAATTTTGAATCATCTCAATCGGAGCTCAGATGAGAGAGTTATGCCCAAAATATGAAACAACGTCAAAACTGTCCGAATTCCTTAATTAGTTCCGTTTTGCAAGTAACGCTCCCATTTGCTTCCTAAGTCAAAATAGAATAAAAATCAGTACATTTTAGGCAGCAAATAGGTATAAAAGACTAGGCATTAAGGGGGTAAATATGACATTTTGCATTCTCATCATCTTCCCCCTCCAAAATGGTTTCTAATGTGCATGAACGGACCTCCATTGATGGTAGCACAAACGTCTTGGGCATCCATCTCTTCGACATCTTGTTAAAACTTTTTCTCTTCCTGCTGCCAAAACAAATAAAATTTCTCACCTATGTAATTCATGTTCCATCAATAAGCACATCAACAACCTTTCATTCAAATAGTCTTCAAAGTCATGCACCACTTGAACTTATTTACACTGATGTTTGGGACCCGCACATTATACTGGAATTGACGGATCTCGTTATTATCTTATATTGGTTACCATTTGACAAATACATGTGGTTCTATCCAATGGCTACCAAATCTGGGGTATCTACTATTTTTCCTCACTTTAAAAAATTTGTCGAAACACGCTTCCAAACCAAAATAAAAAATTTGTACTCTGATAATGGTGGCGAATTCATTGCTTTAAAATCATTTTTATTGACCAATGGTATTGGTCATTATACCACCGCCCCACACACCCCACAACAAAATGGTGTTTCTGAGCGTCGTCATCGTCATCTAGTTGAAACAGGTCTCACTCTTCTCCATGATGCATCGTTATCTCTTTCCTATTGGCCTCATGCTTT